GTCTTAAAAAGTACATATAGGAAGGCTTTGGAGTAGCACAAGGAACAAAGAGCAGTAATCCAGCCTTTTTAGTCTCTTTGTGTCCTCTTTGGTTGGGTTGGGATTTAGGTAAAAGTCCCTGGTAAAAATACTCAAAAGAAAATTTGCTAGAGTTGATCTGTATATTTGTCTTCTAGCCCTTTCCAGGTAAAAAGTTTTCAGAGATTACATAACTCCCTGTCTTCTGTGTTGTCTTACTTCCTTTTTTCAGCTGTTATTTATTAGTCTGCTGCTATATTGGTGTAGTTTTTCAGTTGTAGTAGCATGGTGTCTTCCCCTTTTACTGTAGGGTTCCATCTTCTCTAAGAGACGTATTATGAAGCAGTCTCTGTGTTAAGGTCTTCAGGAGAGGACTTGAATGTGCCATTACTTACAGTGGTCTGCTTCTAGAGGCATGGGGCTTTGTATATATGACTCCCAAAATCCCCCAGGCAGCTGTTTAGAGAGTTGTAGTCCAACAACACAAATTTGCACACCCCTGTCCACTTCATGGGTGCACATAAATTCATGTTATTCCAGTACAGTGCATCTGCTTCAGAGTTGTGGTAAGTTCTCTGTTGTTCCTTTTAGAAAAGATAGGATGACACATCTCTTCATTTTTTCAGTCTGCTTAGTGCATTTTGACAATTTTAATGATTCAGTTGGTTAATTTCTTTTAATGATATTTATTAGCTGCTTTGAGTGCTATTATTTTTAGTTAAAAGATCAGATTAAAATGTAGTAAACGCTGAATGTGGTGGTGTCAGAACCAATCCGATTTGACTACAGTACACTGTGAAATGAGTGAAAACAAATGGAACCATCTTGGTTTCATTTTAGTCATCAAGCACAGTTCCTACTGAAAGCCATATAGTGCTGATTAGTGGACTGATGATGCTCCCTGCTGCAGTGCAGATATTTCATTGGCACAATGCATCTCTGTAGTCAACTTCCCTAAATGCCATTGTAGCTCCCTAGGCTCCCATCAAAAACTGAGGAACACTTTCCTTGAATTACATCAGCAGCTGAACTCTAGAATTTAGAGACATTCAGTCTAATCAACTGGTAGTTACCAAAACTGTTGCAAACAACTTTCTGTTTTGTCTTTTCCAGCTTCCTGGGGGGACTGAGTGATGACGAAGAGCATGATTTTTGTGCTGCTGGCTTCCCTCTTCTGGCAGAAGATTTCAGTGTTGCACTGGATAAATTACATGAAGCTCATTCGCAGGCAATAGGAGCCCCAAAGGTGTGGACCACACTAATAAAAATCTTTGATATTTGAGTTAACTGGTTATAATACTGTAATTAAGTGGAGCATGTGGCCTATTTTGATGACTTATGTTGCAATAAATGAGGGTCTCTAATGAAGACTCTGTAGTGTATTGGTACTTTTAATAATTTATTAATGAAACCTCAGGGCTGCATTTGCTAATGAAAGTGCCCAATGCCTGATAACAACAGCTTAACCAGAAGATTCTCCAGTCACATACTTTTAAGTCAACAAAATAGTGAAGCAACACAAAGCGGGTGGTAAGCATCAGCACTTGGGGTAAAATAATTCAGCAGTAACCTGTAAACTAGAGTCCTAACTGTGGACTGTATGTGTTTCCCAAAGCCCTTGATGCCCCCTAGCCAGCTAAATGTTTTTATGTCACAAAAGGCGTTTTCTACTCCTGACAGCCTTTAGGATGAGGTTTTGCAATAAAACAGGTTGCAGTGACCTGAAACAACAGCCCAAATGGAACTGGGCTTCTGATTACTTCTGCTTGGTAATTTTTATATTTGTAGTTTTATTTGATTTTTTGGAGGTGCTGCTGCCTGTAGTGGAATATGTGGGCAGAAGACTAGTTCCTCTCTAGTCCCTTCAGAGTTGGCCACTCTCCAGCATTATAAAACAGAATATTATTCCGTGCTTTTGCAACTAGGGAGACAGGGGAACATCCTAGCTATGAATTTTCAAAGATACAATATAACACCACAAAATCCTCTTATATGTCATAATGTTAAAGAATGGAATATGCAGCAGGTATATCACTGCATAATGTCGCTGTGGGTTAAACCGCAGAAGCCTCTGTGCTGCAAGGTCAGAAGACCAGCAGTCGTAAGATCAAATCCACACGATGGAGTGAGCTCCCGTCGCTTGTCCCAGCTCCTGCCAACCTAGCAGTTTGAAAGCATGTACTGTAAATGCAAGTAGATAAATAGGTACCACCACGATGGGAAGGTAACGGCATTCCGTGTCTAGTCACACTGGCCATGTGACCATGGAAGATTGTCTTCGGACAAACGCTGGATCTATGGCTTGGAGATGGGAATGAGCACCCTGCCCTAGAATCGGACAAGACTGGACTAAATGTCAAGGGGAACCTTTACCTTATGGAGGATCACCATTACATTTTGTAGCAACTTTATGTCGGCCCATGGTTCGCTATCCTGAATATTTGCTAGATTAGAAGTTTTATGAGGTTTTTTATTTTTATGTTATTTTTGTGAAAGTCACCCAGAATGGTGGCTTGTCTACTTAAATGAGTGGGGTATAAGTTAAAATACAGTGGTGCCTCGCTAGACAGTTACCCCGCATGACAGTTTTTTCGCTAGACATTGACTTTTTGCGATCGCTCTTGCTATAGCGATTCGCAGAACAGTGATTCTTATGGGGGAATTTCGCTGGACAATGTTTGGTCCCTGCTTCGCAAACTGATTTTCTCTAGACGACGATTTGCTTTTTGCTAGACAATGATTTCGCTAGACAGCTATTTCAGTGGAACGGATTATCGTCTAGCGAGGCACCACTGTAAATAAAATAAAATTATATGTGAGATATCAAAGTTGTAATATAGATGATTCCTTGTGAAAACCAGTGGCATTTTGCGAAGGGAAAGGATTGTGTAATTAACATGGTAGCAATCAATTGATAGAACAGAGTAGAATACTTTTATGTGATTCAGAGACTTTATGGATCAACATCTCTGTTTTTGAGAGTGACATTTAAAAAGTGGTAATTGCAAATTCTGGTTTATCCAATGCAGTTCTGGAATTTTTAAGTTAAAGGCCTATTTGTTTTGTTGCAGATACCCTCTGTCTCCTGGCAAGATATAGGTGGGCTTCAGGATGTGAAGAAGGAGATCCTGGATACCATTCAGCTTCCCCTTGAACACCCAGAATTACTGTCTTTAGGCCTTCGTCGCTCTGGACTTTTACTGTATGGCCCTCCTGGAACAGGAAAGACATTGCTAGCTAAAGCTGTAGCAACGGAATGCACCATGACATTCCTCAGGTGAGTTCTATGTAAATTAAATGATTAGAGGAACCTGGGCACTGAAATATAGTTATAACTCAGAATATTCTCTTTTTCAGTGTGAAAGGCCCTGAGCTCATAAACATGTATGTTGGACAGAGTGAAGAAAATGTGCGTGAAGGTTAGTGTGGAGCTCTTATGTTTCCAGAGTTGTCAGCTATGTGAGAAAAGCATTCTTGTAAATACCTGATCTCTTTTTTTTAAAGAGCTTAACTCCCTTGAAGTGCTCACACCTGAAAAGATGGGCATGAATTTTCTGACAGCCCTCGGGGTTGAAAAAGCTGCCCACTGCTGAAAACCCATACCTTTTCAATTTATGACCCTGCTCTGCTAATTCCCTTGTTGGGAGAAATGTGACATATAAATAAAACTACAGTTGTGCCCCGCTTGCCGATTAACCTGTTTGACAATGAATCCGCTTTATGATGAGTTTTTTGCGATCGCTATTGCAGTCGCAAGACGATGATTCAAAGGGGTTTTTCGCTTGACGACAATCGGTTCCCTGCTTCGGGAACATTTTTTGCTTAACTATCAAAAACAGCTGATCGTCAGGTTTTCAAAATGGCTCCCCGCTGTGCAAAATGGCTCCCCGCTGTGTTCAGGATGGATTCCTCGCTTTACAGGCACCGGGAAATGGCTGCCCTATGGAAAATCTTCACTGGACGGTGAGGTATTTCCCCTGTTGGAACACATTGACCGGTTTTCAATGCATTTCAATGGGTTTTTGGGGTTTTTTTGCTTGACGACGATTTCGCTCTACAGCGAGTTTGCTGGAACGGATTATTGTTGTCAAGCGAGGCACCACTGTACTACTATTAATAATAATTTTAGGGTAGACTTTTATAATATAGGGAAGTCCTGTTGGTGTTTTTAGTGTCTTCAGTCTCGGGGGGGGGGGAAAAGCTGTTAACAGAAGCAACTGGAGTTTTGGCTTCTGGATGTTGTTCTTCTTCTGGACAGTTTTGGGATTCTAGTCTGAATGCTTGCAGTAAATAAGGTCTGAGCGTCTTTTCCAGGCTAATTTTGAAGCACCAAGTTTCTTATAAATAAGTTCAGGCTGAAGCTGCTAGGAGCCATTGTGTGATCTGATTTGTACTGTCAAAGCAACTGGTGGAGTGCCTGTGGTGTAATGAACTTGCCTTTGACACACATCCTATTTAAGCACTGGACATGAGGACGACCGTGTTTGCAGAGTGTGTCCTTGGCCTACATCTGGAGTGGACAGACTTTAGTCTTGTTTTTCACTAAAAGTCCATGATTCCCTAGCTGTAACCTGTTACCAAACAGCTGCTCAGAACAGGACGTGAAACAGAGGAAGAAAGGGCATATTCTCAATCTTCAAATATGTTTTCAGGATTGGAAATAGTACACTAACAGGTTGTCACAAGACAGATAGCCAGTGTGGTGTAGTGGGTAGAGTGATGAACTCAGGAGGCCGGGGTTCAAATCTCCAATTAGCTGTGGAAGCTCACTGGGGATGCAAAACTGATAAAGCCACTCCTTAAATCTCTCACTTACCTTGAAAGCCTTATTAGGGTCACTGTAATGTCGTTCTGACTTGGTAGTGCCAGCGACAACATTAATCACAATATATATAAATGTAATGAGCGGTGGACATCTTACATCATTAAAAGGCAGTATTAAAGCTAAGAACAGTAAGTATGCAAATATTTTAAAAATGCTAATCTGAGAAATGGGGTGGGAGGGAAGCATATTTATTCAAAATAGTCAAAACAAAGAAGAACGATAGTTCTAGCACTCACACCAAAGGGTAGGATGGAAATTAAATAAATACAATAATATAAATAAATACAGTGGTGCGTCGCACAACGAGTGCGTCACACAACAATGAATTCACACAACGATGCCTTTTTCTGTTAAATTTGCTGCCTCACACTGCGATGTTTCCTATGGGGGATTTTCACACAACGATCTCCCTTTTCGCTCCTGTAAAAGTGTCTTACAATGTTTGGATGCTGTTTTAAATGATTGCAATGGTTAGTCCACCTCCTGAAACCTATGCAAACTGATTTTGGTGTTGTTCTGACACTTCGTTAATTTATGATGATTTTTTGTTTTTTCCATTGGAAACCATTAGACAGACCATCCAATGGTTTCCTATGGAGAAAAAACAAAAAATCATCATAAATTAACGAAGTGTCAGAACAACACCAAAATCAGTTTGCATAGGTTTCAGGAGGTGGACTAACCATTGCAATCATTTAAAACAGCTTCCAAACATTGTAAGACACTTTTACAGGAGCGAAAAGGGAGATCGTTGTGTGAAAATCTGGCAATCCGTTCCAATTGGAACAGATTAACCGGTTTTCAATGCATTCCTATGTGAAATGGTGTTTCACAGAACGATGTTTCACACAACGTTGATTTTTTTGGAACCAATTAACATCGTTGTGTGAGGCACCACTGTATTTTCAAAAGCCCAATGTTTCCTGAGTTAACATTTTTTTAAAAAACATTCTTCATTTCTATTTTAAGGACAAAATGCCATTGCTCAGCTATTTAAAATCTTGTTCGAACAAGAAGTGGCCTGCCCTTTTATGGCCATTTGTCTTACAGTACTTTGTTTGAGCTCATTTTGTCTTCACACTGTTTGTAAATATACGCAGTTTATTTCATCTGTAAGCAGCTTACTTGGTTCCTTGCTTGGGCTCTAGGTTCATTTAATTATGCTCCAATTATAGCCTGTTCCCTGTTCCCTGTCTGTAACTATACAACTGCTGCATAGAGCTTACAGGGCATACCTAGTGTGGTATACTGGATAGAGTGACAGACAAGAATTCAGGAGGCCTTGGTTCGAATTCCCGCTCACCCTGGAAACTCACTAGGGGAGTAGAACTGGTAAAGCCACTCCTTAAATATCTCACTTACCTTGAAAGCCCTGTAAGGGGACCCATAAGTCAGTTTTGACTTGATTGCACCTCACAACAGAGCCTGTAGTGTGACAGATCTAACTGTTTACCATGTTGAAACCTCTGACTAGTTCTGTACTATTTTTTAATTACTGAGACATTTGACAATTAGTTTTTAATATTGTCTGTGGTTGTTTTTAATATTTAATCACGAGCTACTTTGGGTAGTTTTCTGCTGGAGGAAAAGGAGAAAAGGGAGCAGAAATGTTTAAAATGGATTAATAAATGCACTATCTTCCTGCTACCTCACAAAATGAATTTCTGCTGTGCAGACATATAAGATGAGGCCAGTTCCACAGAGCTTGTAATTCAGATTTCAAGACAGATGGAGGAAATGAACAGAAAAAGCCAGGAAATGAAGACCATCTGCCAGAGTGGGGCAAGCAGTGGCCGTGGTGACTGGCTGCTGTGCTCCTTTCCACTCTGCAGCTGCTTCCCCATCCTTCTAAACTGAAAAGGTTCCACCACTCCCTTTCCCATATTCTGCTAGTGTGATCACATCTTCCTAGGCTTTTTCAGAGGCAGGCAGCATGCATTTTAGGATGCATCTTTTTTTTGTGTGCAAAGGAACACAAACTGGTTTTTCATTTGTAATTGTTATTATGTATGCTGCTGGTTTTAGCAGGTTTGCAAAATGCATACTGTCTCTCTTCCTAGTGTTTGCCAGAGCCAGAGCAGCTTCTCCTTGTATTATCTTTTTTGATGAGCTTGATTCATTGGCACCCAGTCGTGGTCGGAGTGGAGATTCAGGAGGTGTAATGGACAGGTGAGTGCTTTCTGTTGCTCTTAAAGAGTGGATAGGCTTCTTCCTGTGGCTTAAAATATTGCATTTCACTTCTCCATTGCTTTTAGAGGTGGCCTCTTCTGCCCGACACCCATGCAGGCCTTTAAACCTTCCTTGAGCCATGCTTGTGTTCTGGGCTGGCATTCCATAAAATTGGACTCCTAACAGTAAACAGTAAGAAAATTCCCCTCATCAAGATCTTAACGATTAAACGTCTTCTGTCCTTCAGGCTAGATCTGATGAGGCTGTGTTTTTATTACCATGGGTTAGTCCTAGAATACTGTGAGGAAAGATAATATATTTTATTTAAAATATTTATAGCTCACTCTTTCTTATTTATTTATAACTTCCTCAAAGGATTCCTTGAAAAGCTCCATTTTTACTTGTTTTTTAAATACATGGAGGGAGGCTTCTGGCGTAATTCCTGTGGCAGTGCATTCCACAAGGAAGGTGCCATAGCAGAGAAAGCCCAGTTTCCGGGGTTGTTTTGTTTTGTTTTGTTTTCTGGACCTTTCACTGTGTTAATATTCATAGGCACATGGTCCCTGAGGACCTAGTCAGACAGGCTTTGTAACTTGGCAGAAGACATTCAGACAGGTAGCAAGGTCCCAATCCATTCAGGGCTTTGTAAATTAGAATGAACACCTTGAACTTGGCACAGAAGCAGACTGTTAACCAATGTAGACTAGCCAAGATTGGGATAATGTGATCCTGTTTCTTCACCCCAACAATCAATCTGGCTGCTGCATTTTGAACCTTTTGAAGCTTCTGTGTCAGCCTCAAGGGAAGCCCCACATGGAATGCATTACAGTAGCCAATGTTTGAGACTACCAATGGACCAATGTTGTTAGGGACCTAACACAGCTGGGTGACACACTGTAGTTGGAATAATGCAGTGCATGTCATAGTAGAGACCTGTTTTTCCATAGTCAGCACTGTATCTAAAATCATGCCCAAATTACACAGCTAGTCCTTGACTGGAAAGATAAATCCATTACATCTGAGGAAGGTTAGACCCCAGACAAGCAGATGGGCATCCCCGCCCCAAGCAATATGATCTCTGTCTTGTCTGGATTCAGTTTCAGCCTGTTCCTCCTAGTCCAGTCCAGTACTGCACGAAGGCGCCCCTCTAGATGCTGGGTGGCATCCACTGCAGGTGATTTAATAGAAAGGTAGGGCTACATATCATTTGTACAACAATGACACCTTATATAGATGTTAAACAGCATTGGCCATTGAGAAAGACCAAAGCCATCTTAGTGCAAGACCACCAATCCTTAGTCCCAATAGTCTATCCAGGAGGATACCATGGTCTACAATATCAAAGATGGTTAAGAGATCAAGGAGAACTCTTTTACATCTAGGTCTCCAAGGCAATTGTCAATTATAACAGCTGTAGCTTTAAGGAGAAAGAGGACATGGGAAGATGAGGAACTTGTCCTTGCATTGAGAAGCTTTAAGATCTTTAGGACTGCTGTCTCTTATGAGATGGAAGATGAGATAGGTTAGGAGTGAACAAAGTGCAGCACTCCAGATATTGCTGGGTTGCAACTCCCATAATTCCTTGCTAGCATAGCCAGTGGTGAAAAATTCTGTGAGTTTCTGTCCATCAACATCTGGACAGTTGCTGTCCTTGGTGTAAGCAGAATCTTGGGATTATATGATCTAAAGTACTGATCCTGAAACATGTCAGGAGATATTCTTTTGCTAACTTTTTAACTTTTCTTTCTTTTCATTTCAATTTTTACCCTGCCCATCTCTGGGTGGCTTACAATTAAGACATTAGAACATCGGGATAAACATATGCTAAATTTCACTAGTGAGCTCTGGGTGGCTTATAATTAAGACATTAGGACATCAGGATAAACATATGCTAAATTTCACTAGTGATATAAATTAAAACATTAAACAAAGAAAATCCCAAACGTAACTATATAAAGAATTCTAAACTAAGGCAAAAGATGGTGGCAAAGCCATGAGAATCAGACCATATCATACTTGTTGGAGGAAATACTTTACCTTTGAAACTTGGTCTATTCTGTAGATTTGAGTTACTTTACTTCACTATGCTTGTGCCCTACACTGTCTGCACAAGCTGTTCTCTTCAAAGTAGTGTTTCTCTCAGTAATGTACAGCACCTATTATAGGATATTTCTACACTCTGAAGAGTTAGGAGCTGGCATACATACCTAAACCAGTTATTTATGTATGCACTCTTTAGATTAGCAAGTCAGTTTATTTGCTGAGTACACTTGGATTCATGCCAGCCCTGTGCTTCCATTGGTAGAGTGGTGTCTCAGCTACTAGCAGAGCTTGATGGACTTCATTCTTCAAGAGATGTGTTTGTTATTGGAGCTACAAATAGACCAGATCTTCTGGATTCAGCATTGCTCCGGCCAGGCAGGTATGATTCTAGTTGTTCTGGGTTTACTTCTGCTATTACATCCATCTTCCTTTGGTGAAGAAGAACTGCTGGGACTGAGATTTTTTGAAATAAACCAAGCCTTTTTGGCAGTGCAAAACTAACATAGATTAGTATTGCATTCGCATTTTCCCCACTAATTTCATCTTTGATAATACTTGGTTTGTTGGTGGTTGCATGTCTTGGTGTAGGATAGGATCCCCACCCCCATTTGTATGTGGCAAAAGATTCCAACAAAAGGGGGAAACCTCTGCCCAAAGTATGGTGCCTCCCCATGAGGAGAACTCTGTCCTTGCCTCTTTGTTGCTGGATGCATTCTTCATTTTCTATAAAGTGTTGAACCCTAGAGCTGCTTTGGAAGGCCTCTTAATTCAGGGTTACATAGACTGAGAAAAACTACTGATTATACATAGATCTATAAAATAAAATGAAACAAATGTATTTATGTAAACTCTTTTGCTCTTCTAGTGCTTTTGCAATATTCAGGATGATTTACAACACAGTGCAGGTTCCCTAACTTTGAGGCCACTCTTGATTTGGTTGAAATGTGGTGTATCTGATTATTGTTTGCCTGAATGCTGCTGCTGATGGAGAGCAGATTTGCTCTAGCAAGTAGTCTTTGAAGAAAGAGACCTGGTACATCTAAGTAGCTGATAAGAAATGTCTTTGGTTCGTTGTGGCAGTTTTGTGCCTTTTCTAGCTACCAGGGCAGTGATATGTATGCTGGATAACAATGCTTTCTTTATAAAAAGTTTGTTTTGTGTTTACTTGACAGATTTGATAAGCTGATCTATGTTGGCATAAATGAAGACCGAGACTCTCAGCTGCAAGTGCTAACTGCCATTACCAGAAAGTGAGTGGCTTCCACTCTGCCTCCGGAAACATAACAATAGTGCAGAAAGGCCCTACACTTTTTAAATAGAGAATCTCTTGTAAATGGGCTGTTCACACTCCTAGTTAAAACAAGTCCAGTCTATAGCAGATGGCTGTGTCCCAAGTGTATCTCTGTACAACTGTTCAAACTGTAATTTCTTTCGTGCATTCAAATGATTATTTAACCTGTGATTTGGAGGGTTGTGAGCCAGCACTGTGCTTGGGCATTCCCTCTTTGCTTTCTCTCTGACTCTTGCATCTGGTTTTATTCGTCATTTTCAGTTTCAAGCCAGCAAACTACAATTTGAAGGATTCCACCAAAAAAAAATCTGCAACATATGTTGAAATTTGAGTTTTTAACTGATTGATCATATTGGAAATTCAGCATCTGCTTTGTCACACTTCTCAAGCAGATACTAACTTGTAGCTATATTTTTCTCTGGCAGGTTTAAATTAGATCCTTCAGTGAGTCTCATTGGAGTCCTTGATAAATGTCCCACACACCTAACAGGTGCAGACTTGTATGCGCTGTGTTCAGATGCCATGATGTCTGCAATCAAAAGGAAGGTGGAATGGATAGAGGAAGGTAAGGAGCTAGCTTAGTGTGGCAACCACCAGCTAAAGTACAAAAATTAAAAGTGAACAAGACATGATGAAAAGCATCTGGTAAAAACAGTTTGTACATGAATTGTACAATGAAATTACAGCCAGTGAGCTACATATTGGATTCATCCCCAGTGAAAGGACAGAAAAAATAGTATATATTTTAAGTAAAATAAAGCAAAGCAAAAGCGTGCTGCTTATATAAATAAAAATCATGTTTGAGCAGCTGTTTGGCAAAGTTCAGATATACTGTAAGTGTAAGACTTAAGTGAACTGGGAATATGGTGGAGGGCAATGGCCCACCCTGACAGCACATTCCCCCCCCCCAAGAAACGAGAGGTGAGCGCAAAACAGAAATGAAACACATAAGCCTTGGAGGAGAAAAATGCTGTCATAGTTGGCCAACAAACTTTCATCTGGGGGAAAAACCATGTAAAGGTTCTGGGTGCATGTAAACCCAGTAATATGCCTAAAGTGAATTGTTTTTCAAATGCTTTTGTTCTCCTTTTCCAGGACTGGATACCGAAAACTCAGAGCTCATGCTGACGATGGAGGATTTTGTAGAAGCTGCAACAGGGCTGCAGCCTTCTGTTTCCGAACCTGAACTGCTTAGATACAAATTGATCCAACAGCAGTTTACTACTTGATAGCAACCAGCCGGGCTGGAAAGGAATACAGATGATTGAAACCATTTTAATTTACTAATCTGGAATAAATTTTGGCATGGGAAAACCACTGGTGTTGGAGATGTGAGAAAGGCACTGTTTGCCAGAATCGACTAGATTCAGATGAGAGACAAATCACGGTCTGGTGGATTCAGAAAAAAGAGAAATGGAAGTGATATTAATGGCTGCTCCGTTGGATAGGAACTGCTGAGCACTAGTCGTAATTTGTGTACAGTCCCATTGCTGATATATTTATGGTGGTCAACATGGAATATACCCCAGGATGCTAATAATGTGGACCTATGAAAGCAGGGAGAGTCACTGTGTAAGTATCTAAAACTGTCTAAATAAAGACAGTTAGGCTTATATCCAAAAGCAAGAGAGTAGTTGGTACTTAAATTTGCTAACACATCTAGGCCTTTATATTGGACTATATTGGTGTTGTGTATGATTATCCTCCATTTATATGTGATATGGGGAGTGGTTTAGATTTTTTTAGCCTTTCTGGAAATACCAGATATTTCCAGCTGCACTGGCAAAGATCTGTAAATCAGGTAGCCTAGCAAGCTTTAGTCTGACATAAAAACCTAGCAGGATATTCAACTTCAGTTTATTTATTACATGTTTCATTTGACTTTGTTAATGAAGCAAAATGTAGCAGACTATTACCAGCATACCAATAACATCACTTCTGGAATATCAAAAGAAATTCTCCCCATGGTTTCATGTAAATGTTCTTAATCCTGAATCATTAACACGCCCAACACAATCAACTGGTTTATATGTCTTCATATTAATAGCTCCCAGTTAAGGTTGCTCCTCACACCAAGGTGCCCAGTTTCATTCCAAAATCAGATATGAAGTCAAGCCAAAAAAGAGCCAGAGTATAAATGTCAGCTAGAAGTTCCTGGACCAGAACTACATACATGATCAGTTTCTGATGGAAAAGTAGTTCCATGTCGGCTTTAGAAATTGTGTTTAATGCCAATGATGGACCTGCCGTAAACTTGGCAACTGATGCCAGGGTTTCTCAAGAGTCACGCAAAGCACCAAAGAAAAACTCCTCAATCAAATTCCTGTTGAAATGCATAGGAACTCTGCAGTACGTACTTTGTTACAAAAATATTGCTTTGTAATGTTCCACTAACCCCAGAATGTTTTTACTGAGCATTATACCAGATAATATAGATAAGACAAAGAACTACCTAGTTTTATATATATAGTCACTGCAGCCAGCCAGAATTCTTTATGCTAAGAACTGGAAGAAATCAGAGATACCAAAACAAGAGGAACTCATTGAGAAGATATGAGAAGCGGCAGAAATGGGTCAGAAATGTTGAAAGACTGTCCGGTACAAATGGCAACTGAACAATGGGATTTATTATATAAATGGCTTGAGTCACCAGATAGTTTTAATTCTATGTTATTCAAGCACTAAGTTGAAACCTGAAGGGCGGTCAAATTGTAGAAAGGTGAAAAATTGACTTGATATTGCAACATGAACAAACAGATTGGATGACAGTACATTTTGTGTTCTCCTTCCCCTCTTTTTCCCCATATCCCTTTCTGCCTTTTGTACTCCTTACCTTATCCCTAGTTTTTTAAAAATTAAAAATAAATTTAAAAAGAAAGCAATGCATAGGAGCTCTGCAATCACTGTAGTTATTGAGGAGTGTCGGGGACAGAAAGTCTCCCAGGCACAAGTGTTCACACTGCACAAACTCAGACCTTAAGTAAAAACGAGGAATCTGTGACCCAGCTGTTATTACACTCCAGACTCCCATCAGCCCCAGTTGGGAGAATCGGAGCTGTAATCCACAGATTCAGTTTGTGGCAAGGGAAAAAGAAATCTTTCTATATCTTGTCTTATTCTCCCAGTCCCCAAAGAAAACACACAATTGTAGTCATGAGTAAATTCTCTTGTATATTGAGGCAAATTCTCCAAGCGATTTCAGCAATAGAGACAGAAGAAAAGGACCAAGAAACAGCAAAGTATACAAGCAATGCAACTTTGCATGCAATTCAGATGCAGAGCAAACCATCCCTATCACCTTCCCTCAGGTCAGTGATTTGAGCAAAAGGTCCTCCAATCCCTGAAGCAGATTACATCTAGATTGGACCCTTTGGGAGAAAGAGGATGATGAGGGAAGGAACGCTTTCCAGTTCTCCTTTTTTTTTTTTTTTTTTTTTGGTTTACACAGCTCCTATGCACATTCACGGTTTCCGCCTCACTGGCATTCCAGCAGCAGAAGAGAAACTGTAGGCCTGCTGGAGTAGCCTTACAGCATGATTCTCAGCCGGTTTTCTTCACCACATGGATGAAATAACAGGGGATGTATTGCTGGCCTGGTTTGTAAGGCTTGAAGTCACCTAGGACGGTGTGTTCGCATGGGCCTTGTATAGATTTTTTCAGCAGTTCTGTGAAAGGCTCCAGGAGGTGAGGATAGTAAGAGAGGCGGAATTGACTGGTGAGAAATTAAAATAAATAAATAAAGTTATTCACTTAAATTGTATGAGAGAGACTGCACACCTGCTCACAGTGTCTTGTGATCAGCATTCCCCCAGCTTTGTGCTGTCCAGATGTGGACTACATCTCCCATCAGCCTAGGCCTTGTGGCCATTATACCGATCAAGATGACTTGTTTATTATTCATTTTACTTATTTGTTAACATATCCTGCCTTTCCTTCAAGGCCTATTGTTTTCTCTTTATATCAACGTTTACTGATGATTAATGTTTTGTTTAATATTTTTAACTTGTTTAAAGTGGTGTTAATAATTTTAAGTACTGTTTTAGTGGAAAGGCAGCATAAAACTATAACAATAAATACAAATAAATAAACCAAGCCAAGAGTGATAGGCCCAAGGTCACCCAGTAACTTCCATGGCTCTGTGGCCATTAGAACCTGCTTTCAAGTCCAGACCTGATATATTAGCCATTACATGATCACATTGTTTCTCCTTAGTAGTGGGCCTGGCAGCAGAGACCTTGAAGGCTGATCTCAAAGCTATAGGTAGATTCCTACACGTTCATCACTTATCCAAGGCACCTGTCAGCTTTCTTTGACCTTATACCAAATGGCATATCTGCTATCAAACTAAAACCTCTGAATGACCCATGATGATCTTAGAGGGAAAAGCACCTTAGTTCTGGACTTCCATCATTTCCTTCAGGTGGGACCTGCAGTGTGTAGTCCAATGTCACCATATTTGGTTTGTTGTTCACAAGGAGTACTGATGTAGTGATGTCCTTGGTTAAGTCACTCTGGGAAACAGGCAGAGAATGAACCTCCAGTTTTTATTTAATTCCCCAATTCGAAGCTTCCCTGGCTTCTTCCTCATACCTAATCTTCCCACTGCCTTATCCCAGTCACAGGTTAACACTTCTGCCCCACAGAATCCCACCTCCTCTCTGTTCTGATTCATACAAACCAGATACACATGAGCACATCCACAGAAGCCTCGGAAGCTGCCTTGTGCTCAGTCAAACCTTTGGTCCAGGTACTCCCAGCTCTGACTGGCAGCAGAGCTCTTGGGTTTCAAGCATCCTTCATTCTACCTGAAGACCTCTGGTCTTATCTAAGGGTCTCCAGGTGCTAACCAGGCCTGACCCCGCTTAGCTTATGAAATCAGGCAAGGATGACATCTGACCCGACTTCTCCCTCTGTTCATTTAGTTTGCTCCCAGAGCTGGCCTTCCAATAAAGATGACCTGTACCTTTAATAAATCTATACCATAATCAGCCTCTCCTTGGGAAAAAAGCAGGTAGCATTCTATAAAACCTAACTGAAACCTCAGCAGAATGTCAACAGAAACCTAGTCATTGCTGCCACCGCTGATAAGGACAACAACAATAACAACAGCGAAGAGGAACATCTGAGCTGTCATGCTAGATCTTCGTAAAAAAGATTCCATTTTGAATCCAAATAATCTGCTTCCACTTAGCACAGTTGACTATGATAGAAATTCTCTGCTGCTCATGTGTGTGCTTGATTTTCTTCTTTGAATGGTTTATCCTTAATCTATATTATAGTATCATTTACTATAATCGAATAGTCCTCTAGATATGGTCTTAATTGACCTGATCAGGTACCTGGCTGCAGAGCCAGAGGTTGGCAGTTTGATTCCCCACTGTACCTCCTGTGGGAAGAGCCAACCTGTGTAGCCATGAGCAAGCTGCACAGTCCCAGGGTGCCCCCCCCCAGAAGAAGAGAATGGTAAACCACTTAGAGTACTGTCTACCTAGAAAACAATGAAAAGGGTTGTCATAAGTCATAAATGACTTTACGGCATACAGTCATTATTGAGAAGTTGAAAACTGATGGCCTTGCCTTTGGGAACAAGATTGGACCACAGTTCTGTGAACTGAGGTAACTGCGGAACTAAAGCACAGGTGCACAGAAAGATTTGTGCCAGGTCAGACTGTATGTCTGTCTAGCCCAGTATTATCTATTGCAATCAGGCAGATAGTGCAGTCTTGTTTGGAAGTCCCAACAGACTTCAAACACTAAGTGAATACAATATAGATCTCAAGAGATTATCCTTTCTTGGAAAGCAGAGGCAAAATGCTATGTCTCAAGTGTACCTTCACCTGTAAAACTCACTACCAGCCAAGCTAGATGGTTCTCCCTGATATGTTCCCTTTGCACTTGTGGGGAGAGGTACAGTGGTGCCTCGCTTAGCGATGTTAATTGGTTCCAAAAAAAATCGCTATGGGAAAACATCGCTAAGCAAAACACCATTTCCCATAGGAATGCATTGAAAACCGGATAATCCGTTCCAATGGGAACGGATTACCGTCCTTAAGTGAAAATCGCCATAGGAACATCGCTAAGCGAAACACGGTTCCCCCCTTGGAATGCATTGAATAGGTTTCAATGCTTTTCAATGGTTTTGACATGTCCGTTTTCGCTATTTTTAAAGTGTCTTAAAATGTTCAAAAACTGTTTAAAATGTTTGGAATCGTTAGTGCACCCTGTAAAACCTTTGGAAACTGAATTTGGCTTTGTTCCGCGTCTTCGTTAATTTTTGGTGAATTTCCCCCCCCCCCATTGGAATGCCTTGACAGCCGTCAAGCCTCCAGTTCAATGCATTTCAATGGGGGGAGAAAAAATTCACAAAAAATTAACAAAGACGCGGAACAAAGCCAAATTAAGTTTGCAAAGGTTTTACGAGGTGCACTAATGATTCCAAGCATTTTAAACAGTTTTTGAACATTTTAAGACACTTTAAAAATAGCGAAAATGGACATCGCTAAGCGAAACAGGGGTACCCAAACTGTCATCGCTATACGAGGCATGGTCCCGAACATTGCTATGCGAAATTTCCCCATAGGAAACATCACTAAACGGAGCGCAAGATCGCTCCAAAAACCTCATCGCTAAGCGAATACATCGTTAAATAAAGCAATCACTAAGCGAGGCACCACTGTAGTTTCATTTTGGCATAGAAGCACCTTCAAGTATGCAGCATTATCTCAAGTAGTAGTGCAGCATGTTCTCTGTCAAAATTATTGTCAAAAAGCTATGAAAACTCCATTATGAGTTTCACCTTCCTTCCAGCAGCTTATTTCTGGCAATACCTTGTAGTAGATGTTCTTCCCAGGAGGAGCACAGCCCGTTTCCAAAATGTAGTCATAGTTACGGTGGTCAATGACAAAAATGCCACCTGGACGTACCATGCTGGCTATGTTCTTAAGGGCCTGTTTGTGAACAGCCTGGTCACCTAGAAATACCAAAAAGAAGTAGTTTAATTCCTTCCTGTCCCACTGAGACACATGTATCCATCATATAAGCCTTAAAGAGCCATCTCTCTTTAAATAGCAAGCTGTTTTACTCTACTTCAAAATGTGGAAAGCCTGGTTTTCTGCTCATTTTGCCAAGGCAGGCTCTGGATTAGTGCCTCAAAGTCCGTTCTAAGTGGGTCACTACTTCTAGGTCTTGAGAGCTTTTAAGGACCCTACTTCAACTACCATACTGAGGTCCTAATCATGAGGGCTTACCAAAGAGACTACTGTAAATGGAGTCCATGTGAAGAATGGCCTTATCTGTGGTAGCCCCTGGCAGATTGATTAGTCATTTTTCCTTCATTAGCATCTGAGGACAGATTGAGATCTATCCTCTTTTTGTTCTGCTATTAATTAGTTGTTTTGTTACATGTACAGTACTGCTGATTTCCATCTAGTTTTTCCTTGCAAATTTGGTTTATTTATATAAAAAATTCAATAAATTGCTTCTTTAATAGAAAAACAGTATCAGTACATTTTAGATAAACAGAACTGTACATAATAACTTCAAGACAGCTATGATTGCCACAGATGACTGATATTCTACACAGTACATGACCTTTGCCATCTGCTTATCATATATACATGTGTGGGTAAACCTGGACTTGGAGGTGGGGCCGTACTGAGAAACAAAGAATTCCTTACAGTACACAGCTTCCAATCTGAGAGTGTCAGCAGGATGGTATGCTGCGTAAGGTACTCACTACAACTCTCCAATTACCTAAACTAGATAAGGAACTTCTGGTCTGCCTGATATTCCAGCCTTCTAGAAGCCTGAGCCAGTGTGACTGACAGTACAGAGAGCATAGAAATAGCCCCAAAATCTGCCTGATATTCCAGCCTTCTTCTAGAAGCCTGAGCCAGTGTGACTGACAGTACAGAGAGCATAGAAATAGCCCCAAACATCTGGTGGACTAAAGATTCCCCACATCTGGTTTAGAAAAAAGATACCATGAAAGGAGCAATGTGTTAAAAGCAGGCATGAGTTGGGACAAAGTCTACTGCTCATCACATCTTACCAAATCTTTCTGGCCTGGTCTTTTGTTCTATACCTTTGAGTGCTCTGCCACTTCGGCATCTTTCTACCTTTCTGACTCGTCTTTTCTTGCTTCATAGATCTACAGCCCCTGCAGCAGCTGTATGATGCAGTTCCCCTCCTTTTCAAATCCCTCAAAAGCCTGCATTGATGTGTAAATGTTACTGCACTTGCTCGTGCTCATTCATTACTATCCTGCATCTTGTCATCATCACTACATTGTAAGATTTTAATGGTATGAACCTATCTCTGTAAAGAACCATGATCAGTAATAATGCTATAAAATAATAAATTCCTCTTCAGTAGATTTACAGTGAGACATCATCTCCATCTAACTCTTTTCCCCATTGTACCATATAATATAGTGCTGATGCTGAAAAGTTGTTTCTATTGATTTGGTTGGGCTATAAGCCTAAATGAATGTCCTGGTCATATTCACTGACCCCTTCCTTCTTCTTCTTATTCAGCAGTTGCAGACTGGAAGTGTCTTTAAGGCCTTAATCCAATGTTTCCCACCATAATCTCCACAGCTGTTGCTGCTGTTGATACATACCATCAAGTCGCCTCCAATTTGTAGCAACCCTATGTATAAGCAATTTCCCAAATCTCCTGTCCTCGACAGCCCTGCTCTGCTCCTGCAGACTCACACCTGTGGTTTCCTTTAGGGAGTCAGACTATCTCGTACTCAATCATCCTCTTTTCCTTCTGCCCTCCCACACCTGTCGTTTCCTTTAGGGAGTCAGACTATCTCGTACTCAATCATCCTCTTTTCCTTCTGCCCTCCAGCTTTCTCAGCATTATTGTCTTTTCCAGAGAATCTTGGCACCTTGTGATGTGCCCAAAGTAGGACAGCCTCAGCTTCAACATTTTTGCCTCCAAACTCAGTTCAGGCTTGATTTGATCTAGGACCCACTCGTTTGTCTTTCTGGCAGTCCAGTGCATCTGCGAAGTTCTCCACCAGCAGTGCATTTAAAACAAATCCTTTTTTCCCATCAGCTTTTTTAATTGTCCAGCTTTCACACCCATACCTGGTGATTGGAAATACAAGAGTGTGGATGATCGTGGTCTTGGTCTCTAGTGATACATTCTTACACTTGATGACCTTTTCTAACTCTTTCATTGCTGCCCTTCCAACTCTCAGTCATCTTCTGATTTCTTGGTGACAGTCTCCATTTGGATTGATGATTGTACCAAAGTATACAAAATCACTATTTCAATTTCTTCGTTGTTGACGCTAAAGATGTGTAGTTCCTCTGTAATCACAATTTTTGTCTTCTTACTGTTCAACTGCCCTGTTTTTCTGAAAATAAGACCTAACCTGAAAATAAGCCCTAGTATGATTTTTCAGGATGCTCCTAATATAAGCTCTGCCCCCAAAATAAGACCCAGTTAAGTGAAACCCCGCCCTCCACCTTTATGCAGCAACCAGAAGATGATGACATGACTGTATTTGAATAAATGTAGATGGCTGTACATAAAAAAAATAAAACATCCCCTGAAAATAAGCCCTAACTAAATGTGCAAAAATTAATATAAGAACCTGTCTTATTTTGGGGGAAACATGGTAGCTAGCTCATGGAATTATGGAAGTCCAACCTTTCTGGAGAGGACAGGATTGAGAAAGGCTGCCTTAACCAATCTGGTGTTAAATTTTAATGAGATCTTAAAACCCTGCTTCAGTCTTAAAGATTGACAGCTAGGATAAGAGTTCTTTCTCCTTGTTCTTTCTTCATCATGTCCTGTGACACTCACCTTTAAAATCTGGGAGATGTGCAAAAGAGTTTCCCAAGCAGATGACAGCATCAAAGCCCTCACCCGGCTTCTGCAGGTCTTGTGGCAGAGTGAGCCAGTTTGCCTCCTCAATGACTGTGGAACAAAAAAACCATAGTTGGGGCCATTTGCTATTGTGACAAGTAACACATTTATTGTAGCATGAGCTTTCAAGGAGATTCAGGGAGTGATGGTGCAGAATTTCAGGTGTATACATATATGCATGGGATGTATGGTGAAACTGTAAATCGTGAAGCCAGAGGGAAGTTAAATGCACAAAGTACTGATAATGGCAGAACAGAAAAAGCACGCTGTGCACATGGAAGTGGTTGCTGTCATCCAAAAATTAAGTCTTTAGATTCAATTCAATTCAAGCTCTAGCAATTATATTGTGCTGTTCAAATATACCACTGCACTGCGTAAGTGCTTAATACAATATGGCACTTAATTTTTTTTTATCTTGAAGATATTTATACCCTTCCCCCACTACCCTGCCGCCTGCAACCCATGATCTTGACATCCAGTTCTTGACAAACCCCACAGACACAATTAAGCTGTTCACATATGCCAGAACTATTTCACAAGTGAGCTGAAATAAATAGCCCCTTTGCATTTGATTAAAAACCTTGCTTTACAATCAAAAACACGCTTTCCTTCAAAATAAATCTGCACTTCCTTAATTTAAAAAAATCCATAATTACTTATTGGTTAGACAAACAGAAAATGAGATAATAAAAGATTGTATGGTGAGGTGGGATCAGAATATTGGTTCAGAAATTCCTTTGGTAGAATGGGAAAAATTACAGAAGATTAATGTTAGGATCACGAAGTCAATAACACTTAAAGAAAACGTATATAAAATGTTTTATAGGTGGTACTTAACTCCTGATAAAATTTGTCTAAAATGTATAAAGTATCCAATATTTGTTGGAAATGTAATGAAGAAAGGGAATCTTTTTTCCATATGTGGTAGACATGTAAGAAAGTAAGAAGTTATTGGGGTAGAGTATGTGCATTTATATCACAAACAATGTTAGTTAATCTTGAGCTGAAACCAGAAACATTTCTACTGTCTATGATTCAACAAAATATGGATGAAAAAAACTGTAATGATTCATATCATTACGGCAGCTAGAATTATATATACACAACTATGGAAGACGGACAAGATCCCTGATGAAGACCAACCGCTTACCTGTGCATTGTGTAGTTGAAATTTTGAAAATTGGTTTTAAACATGCTAAACCTGATACAAAAACAAGTGTTTTTCAATGTGAAACTGCACTCTCAATGTATCATATACAGGTACTGTAGTTTGGTCCTGAGTCCCCATTAAAACAATACAGCTTGCTGTGTATGGCACAGTTGTGTCAAATTACACTGATCGGCCATAACATTATACTACTGACATATGAAATGAATAGAATTGATTATATTGTTACAATGGGACCTGTCAAAGGGTGGGATATACTAGGGAGCAGATGAACAGTCAGTTGAATTTAATGTGTTGGAAGCAGGAAATATGGGCAAGTTAAAAGATCCAATCCATGGAGGTCCCACCTTGCAACTTGCAGGACTACTGCTAATTGTCTTGGTGTCAGATACCACAGGACACATCCAGAGGTCTTGTGGAGTTCGTGCTGCAAAGCATCAGAGCTTTTTTGGCAGCACAAGGACCTGCATTATATTAGGCAGGTGGTTTTAATGTTGTGGCTAATCAGTGTAAGGGCAAAAGAAAGCTGCCATAACAAGGGCTCTAAGTGGGTTCCATTACTGTCTGTACCTTTGTCAGCCTTGGGGCTGCCTCAGAACAGAATGGATTAGACTTTCAGCTCTGCTGATCTGTGAACACTTGATTCTCTGTCTGCAGGAAGGAACTTTGCAGGAATGGGTTAATTACTTCCTTAGCCAGCTCTGCTGATCTCTGTATGCCTGATTTTATAGCTTTTGCCTTCCAGTTTCCAGAGTCATCTGACTTTTCCTGTTTGACATTCAGATTTTCCCATGGACCTGCAACATCTACCTAAATGTTGATGTTACAGCAAGCTTCATTAATTAGTACATATTTTGGTTGCTGCTCTAATCATAAATGAAGGCATTAAATTAAATGAAAGCCAAGGCGTCTCCTTAAGCACCTTATAGCTCAATGGTTTAGGCATCTGGCTGCAGAACCAGAAGTTGGGAGTTCAATTCCTCACTGTGACTCCTTGACAAGGGCTGGACTTGATGATCCATAGGGTCCCTTCCAGCTCTAAGATTATCATCTTTCCCCCAGTTTCTGACATGGCTCTCCCACCGTACCTAGTAATTAGGACACATAAGCTGAAATCCAGCAGTAAACTGCAATTAGATTCAATACATCACATGGGTTCCAGTTGCAGGCTGGGAGTGGCTGCTAGGCACCCTTCTGCTTCATCTCCATCTTGTTTTAAGTTGCTTACTCAAAACGAAACAACTCATCTTGATTTTTTTAATTGTCGTTTGCTCCCTGCTGCTGAAGTTGTTGGAACCTGCTTTCTAAGCAAACAGATTTCCTCTTGTCCACTTCATTGAGCCTGTTTACAGGAAACCTGTTCCTCACCTTACTATTCGTTGGAACTTTCAAAATCCAGTCTGGAAGTTTGGCAATTTTGGTAAGTGCCCGAAAATAACAAAGCAGAGATAAAAAAGATGAATAATGCTAATTTAATTTTATTTAGCATAATATTACTGAGCTGCAGATTACATGCTCCAGTTAACTTAACACAGTACTGTATATCCTTTACCTTTTTATTTGGGTGGTGGTGGTTCATATTCAGGTATTATTCTCAACTACATCTATGTCTCCATAGGGAAGGTTATTCATTTAATTCATAAACTTTTATACTGCCCCATTAGTGCAAGTCTCTATTCCGGGCAATTAACGATCAAGAACATCGAACAGAAATGACACTAATCAAACAGTAACAATAAATAAATTAAAAATAACAATCACAACTGGAGCATCACAAAAACTAAGACAACACAAATGAAAGAATATAATAAAGCATGGAGGGCAAGTGGCAGATTCATGTGAGATTGCTATCAAAGGCCTCTTTTGAAGAGCCATGTTTTGACCAACCTCTTAAAGGTAGGCAAAGAGGGGGCCAGACGCAGCTCGACTAGGATGCAATGACAAAGGGCTGGTGCCACAACCAAGGCAGCTCAACTTCTAGTGGATGTTTTCCTGGCCTCCTTTGGCTTAGCAACCTGAAGAAGTATGTCCTGGGAGGATTTGGTGGTGCAGCTAGATCTTCTTTGGGGGGGAAAATGCTCCAACAAGTAATGGGACCTCAAACTGTGAAAGGCTTTATAGATAAGCACCAAAACCTTGAACTTGACCCAGGACACCACAGGTAACCCGTGCAGGTGAGCCAAGACGGGTCAAATTTACTCACACCCACCACGAGCCTAGTGGCCGCATTCTAAACCTTCTGCAGTCTCAAGGGAAGCCCCATACAGAGAGTGTTACAGTAGTTGATCTTGGACTTCACCAGTGTGTGCACCAATGTCCTCAGACCTCCCTCGTCTAGGTAGGAGCAAAGCTAAGTGATAAGTCTCATCTGATTAAAGGCCAACCTGGTCGCCACTGCAGTCTGGGAATCCCAAGAAAGATATGGACTCAGAAACACAACCAAATTCCAAACTTGATTGCTAAGTCTAGGGAGGTTTATTTATTCTCTGGGATAACAGTTAACACTAGTGAGGATAGTGGTGAAGCTAGCAGCAGGGTTAGATCTAAGCTCAGTTTTGTGTTCAGATACATGGTTAGGACAGAAGCTAGAACTTCATCCATAAAGGAGATGAAAACAGCAGAATTTAAATGTGGGCAAACTAAATGCTTTTCAGAATTCAACTATTGGTAAGTCACTATGAAATATCACTTTAAAGTCTGATTCTAATGCTGACTCAGTATTGCAAACATATAAAGATCTAAGTGATCACCCAAGACCCATTTTAACTAACTCAAGGCGAAACAAAACACAGCCCATGAAGTCCTTATGGTTTGATAAAGCAAGAAGGGAATCTAAGAAGCTAGATCCACAGAACATGTGTTGCACCTGATCCTATGGAACAAAGTAATTGAGACAGGATTACAACTAAACTCAGTTAAGAAATCTCAGTTCCAATAAAAATGTTGGTCAGATCTCAAGGTAGCAGCAGCAGAGACAAATGCAACTTAGGCACTTAGTGCAAAGAAATAAAATTTACATTTGATACATCAGCTTCATCATGGGAAACTTTTATGCAAACTTATGTAAAGATGATGAAGCTGAAAGATGAACAAACAGCAGGGAATCTTTGGCACCAGATATCAGTTCCTTTCCATCATGATCTCCTGCTTCTGAGATTTAAGTTATGCAGTTGGTGAAGAGTAATAAGGCACCAGGGGAGGATTTTCTGCCACAACTGGTGAGTTTCACTTATATTCGCTTATAAACAATACAAGCTGAGTCCCTAAAGGCTGGAACCTAAGCATAAAAGTACCAGTACTCAAGAAAGATATAAAAGTATTCTAAGAAAACCTATGCAAAACATCACTTACAAAAAGCAGAGGACTGGGCAGAAGAATATGCTTTGTTGGCCAAAGAGCAGGCAGACCGTGCAGGTGTACCTTGGATAACTGTTACATTCTGTACCATCTGATAACTAAATATTATGAAGGAAAGTGCACAGCTTTTTGCCACTTTCACTGAACTTAGTGCAGCCTTTGACTCTATAAACAGGCAAGACCTCTGGGAGAAAATGCTCGACCCAAACATAGATTGGAGATTGTTGTTTTTAATGAAAGCTCTCAATGCTGGAATCTGTCTGTCTCAGGGTCCAAACTGGCCCTACTTATGCTGTCTCAGATCTGACCCCAACCTATGAAGGTGTTCTCCAAGGCTGTACTTTAGCCCCATTTTGTTTTAACTTTTATATAAACAACACTGCTAAAGTCTTGCAAAACCAGGATGACCACATGCCCATGATTTTGAATAGATCTGTAAATGTTTTACTCTATGCAGATGACATGATTTTATTGTCAACAACACAAGTTGGGCAGAGAAGACCGCTAAGATAGTTTGGCTCTTGTTGTGCAGAACATGACCTAGTCATGCTAAATCCAGAGTTGCAGTGTTCAGTAAGAGGAAACAACTGCACAAAAATTATTAGAACAAGTAAAATCTTGTTATCCTGGCCTATCATTCTCAGCTACAGGAGCTTGGGTTATATAAATAAAGAGAAGCAAGCAAACTGACAGCAGCTGTCTAAAATCTTTAAACAGACTTCTGAATTTTGCATACGCAGGTACATTACACTCAATTCTAAATATCTTCAAGGCAAAGGCAATACCAATGCTAATTTTTGGTGTAGAAATCTGGAGTTTTGCTGATCTTACCAAAAATGAAAGAGTTCAAAACAATTTTCTATGTAGGATATTAATAATAATCATGTGTCGTCAAGTCAGTTCCGATTTATGGTGACCTTTTTTTCAGAGGTTTCACGGTAGAGAATCCACAGAAGTGGTTTAGCATTCTTTTCTTCGGGGGGGGGGGGGGCCTGAGATTGTGCAGCTTGCCCAAGGTGACACAGGCTGGCTCTACATGCAGGAGGCGCAGCTGAGAATTTAACTCCCAACCTCTGGCTCTGCAGCAAGACACTTAAACCACTGAACTATCCAGATAGCTCATGTATGATATTAGGAGTTTCTAAATCTACCCTGTCTTATTTAAACAGAGCAGAACTAGGCATGGGTATGTTTTATGGAGTGATATATGTTAGGATGGTCAGCTACTGGTGTAGAATTAACCAGATGAAGGAAAGTAGACTTCCCAAGATTGAACTAGAGTAGTGGTTCTCAACCTTGGGAAACCCAGGTCTCCAAGGAACTCTGGCAAGCACAGCTAGTGTGAAGGCTTCCGGGAACTGCAGTCCAAGAATACCTGGGCTACCCAAGATTGGGAGCCACTACTCTAGACCATTTATTTCACAATGGAACTCTTAAAACAATGTAATATAGATTTTTCAGGTGACCCCCTTATAGAAACAGAACAATGCCTGGCTTACCTTCTGCATGGTTGGTGTTCCCTCTCCTTTCTAGCGGTGCCCTAGAACTTTTATGGAGGGTCTTTATGACAGTCCCAGAAATATTTTATTACTGTTATTAAACGTTGGGTTCTCTTGCACATATTTCATGCCTCTGCGAAACCATGTTATAAGAGGTTTTAATCAGAGCTTGAGAAGATAGTGTTTGGGACGACAACTCCCAAAAGCTCTCAGGCAGCAGGGCCGCTAATTTTCCCCCCAAGCTTTGCTTTCAGAAATAAGCAAGTATATTTACATTTAATCACATATGAAATAGATGCTGACCCAGACAGGAATATTTGGTTGGCAGTCCAAACAAAATCCCACATTACCCCAGTCATCAAAAGGTGCTTCTTTTCGGCGGTTCCATCGTTCCTTCAAAGCATACTTGAGCATCTTGTCACTGGCGTCCACGCTGGTGACTTTAAATCCTTCCTCAACCAGCATGATGGAATCCACACTGCACCAGAAACAGAGAGAGATGGCTATGTCACCAGAGGAATTAAACCAGGAATAAAGTTTTTCTCAGATTAATTTACACAGACATGGGAGAAGGAACATCCTAAAGAACTCATTCCATCTGAACGTACACCGATTTAATTAAGTAAGACCAACTGTGATCTTCTAATACTGCCCTCATAATCATAAATATGAACTATATGATTATCCATCACAATTCATAGAAAAGAGATAGGGAAAAGCCAGTACTGTATTTTCCCACATCAGTGAACATTAACGTGGGGGAAGGATCTATATTGTATGTTTTCTCCTTATCACAAAATTATGTTTTTTAAAAGTTATCTTTGCAATAGAGATGGAAATCAGTTGCCTTCTATGTTTTGCTGACTACAATTCTCATCATCCCTCACAACAGGTTATGCTGGCTAAGGCTGATGGGAGTTGTAATCCAACAACATCTAGAGTGCCAGATTGCCCAGCCCCACTTGAGGGCAAGGATTCACACATGTTTCTCAGCTGTAAGTTGCTTTTAAGGACTTGCAACAAATTTATCTAGGCAGCAAGACTACATTGGTTTTTGCAGGTCTGTTTTCCATGGCTTAACACATGCTAGGCAAATTAGCACACCAACGTGCAGAAGACTAGCATGTGCACAAATCCCTACCATGATGGAAGGGAAAAGTTCCATTATGTTATAATAATTACAGTCTCGGTCCATCTAGCTGTAGAAATCCACACCCATTTGTGCAGGACACCAGAAAATCCTACTGATGATTTTATGTTTCCATAAAATAAATCATTAATGTCTTCAATGGAGATTGCCAGTCATTAACAAGATATTGGTTGTGTTGCCATGTGCACAGCATATCACACAAGCAGGCACACACCCAGGAACGCAGCCAGCATCTCATTAGTGAGCAGCAATTTGTGACCAAGATTTCCACAGTTCCCCTGGATTAAAGAGTAAACTTGAACGGCAATAGGATTCTAGCCAACATTTAACCTCATCAAACTTTAAAACAGTGAACGGACAAGATGGACACTTTCAAGACCTCGTCAGGAATAGATAGGAAACAAGGATAGGAAACAAGCGCTGGTTTACACAGACCTGGGATGCTCTTGGAACCTCCCCATTTTACATCCTCACATTCGGGCACAGCAGGGGAGAAGTGGGGACTGCCATGCAGGACATGGGAAACAAAAAGCAGTTTCCTGCTAAATATCTACATATCCATCCCCAGCAAGGCTGGAACAGTTGATCAAGTAAGTGTTAATCATCAAAAACATGTCTCTAATCGGGGAAGACTTTTGAGAGAAAAAAATTCTCACAAACATATTTACACAACAGAGGTGGCAAAAGTTCTCTTAGAAGAGACAGACTGACGGTGTGGTGTATGAAAAAAGGGGGAAGGTTTATTTTATTATATTCCCCAATGGAACACGCGCTGGGATTGTCTATCACGAGCCTAGGACATGCTTCTCTTTTTATGAGGCTGTTTCTTCACACAGAGATTCAGACCACTTTAGAATCACAGAATCATGAAGTTGGACGGGGCCTTTAAGGCCATCCAGTCCAACCCCCTGCTCAGTGCAGGAATCCAAATCAAAGGATATCTGCCAGCTCTTTTGTCTAAATTTCTCTTGAATATTGGAGCACTCACCACCTCTGGAGGCAATTGGCCCTATTTCATCACATCTCAAGGTAATTAACACCAGACAACTGAACAACGAAGATTTGTTTTGAAGACTGTGGCAGGTTGGAGCCAGCCCTTCTCACAGATCTGCACAATTCACTGGGGCTTTAGCCTTTATCTGTCCATCCATCTATCTTATATGCACTCTCTGGGCCGTCCAATAGCGTGATACACACTTTCCGGGACAACCAACACATACAGACTACAAATAATGTCATGCCAATTGCAAACATTAACAAAGAATAAATGATACTATAAAACCACATAACTCACCAAATCTGATTTAAGTTGAGATTTAAACCACAGTTGGACATCAAAGAGCACACATTTAATAAAAGGCAGCTTTAAAGAGCTCGGTTTTAAGTGGCTTCTTAAAACCTGGGAAGGAGGACACCTGGTGAACTTCTAGTAGTTGTTCCAAGGATAAGAGGTCACAATAAAAAAAAAATGCTCAGTTTCTAGTGGTAACTTTTCTGGCATCTATAGATGTTGCTGTTTTAAATAGTAACAAGTGCAAGGAGAAATGTTCCAGAAGGCCCTAAGCCGTATATATTTTGATGCCTAAAACAATTCTAACAAAGTCACTAAAATAACAGCAAGATATTTACCTCTAACCCACTGATAAAACAAAACGGGCTGATATTAAAGGAAGTGGCTCCATCTGCAAACTACAAGCGAGATTTTTCCTCCCCATTGGGTCCAATTGTTTTGATTCACTCCTCTCAGATCCTATTGACTCCAATGGGTCCAGTCTAAAAAGTACAGTACTAAACACGGATCCAGCTTTAATCCACCTTTCTGATTCTATCTGAAATAAATGGGGGGTGGGGGGTGGGTTTGGACAGGGATGTAAGTGGCCAAAGCCTCACTTAAACACCGCACCTCCCGGTGTCAGCTTTCTGTTCTTTTGTGGAGTAAG